TGACTGAGGAAGAACATTACAGGGCTGGCCCTGGATATATATGGACCTCTCTATGATTAGTTATTGCCAGTGATTTATTTCTCCTGCTCTTCTATGTTCTTTCTTTCTTTCTTTCTTTCTTTCTTTCTTTCTTTCTTTCTTTTATTTTTATTTTTTTAAAATAAGACGAGGTTTTACCATGTTGGTCAGGCTGGTCTTGAACTCCCGACCTCAGGTGATCCACCCACCTTGGCCTCCAAAGTGCTTGGATTACAGGCATGAGCCACCATGCCCGGCCTAGAAATTTAAGGTTTCTAAGAGCAAGAAATGAAAGGTGGCATATCTAAAAGCACCTCCCCTCCCCATCCCAGTGTTTGGTTTGACTGGTGCTCTGCTGGGGACCACATGAGAGCATAAGAGGCAAGTAGAGAAGGGTGGCACGTGGGAACTCAAGAGACAGCAGCTCCATCATAGCAGGGCCAAGAGCTGCAGTCAGGGATAAGCATGGGGTACAGTTGGAATGCCGGCTCAAAGCCGAGTGGCATGGTATCTCCCCAAATGATACTCACTGTCCACAAAGTCTTTGCACTCTTCCTTCAGCTCTATGGTCTGCTGGGTAACCTCTGGGTCCAACACCCGCAGCTTGTTCAGTTCATCAAAGTGCAGCCCTGCTTCACCCAGGATGTCCTTGGCCATAGCTGCAAAGAAAGCAGCCCAATCCCTAATCACTCCCCAGACACCTACGGAAATTCCTGCTGCCAAGCCAGCCCCACTCCTACTGTTGGACACCAATGCCAAAAACCCAGATGTTCCAAAGGCTCCCTGTTCCCTCTGCCACCACGTCACTGAGCCTCACCTGTTTCCCATCCGGGTTCCCTAGAGGAGTTCTGCTCTGAAGGGGTGACAGTGGCAGTCAGGAGGAGGTGTGTCATAGGAGCAAGGGTCAGGAAAGAATAAAGTCCGCTTGCTTGTCACAGGCATCGTTCATTCCACACACATTTCTTGAGTGCCTACTATATGCCAACACTACTAGATGCTCGGGGTACAAAGATGAATGCAACGCGTTCCCCGCCCTGGAAGAACACATAGTTTAGCTGGGGGAAGGCAGACATGGAAACTGAAAAGTCATACTGTGTTAAATGCTTGTTTAGAAACATCAGTAAAGGGCTGGAAGAGGACAGAGCCGTTCATGAAGGAGTGACAGCTGAACTAAGTTGTGAGCCATAAGTGAACTGACTTTATATATCACCAGTTATGTACCCAGAAGCACGAGAAGGCTTCTCAAATACATACACATAAAGCAAAAAAGCAATCTGCATGAATTAAAAATTATGGCTAAAAAATACAAAGGAGTAAGAATATTACTCAAAACGTATGCTACAGCATATTGTACACTCGCCTGAATTAGGAATCAAAGTTGGGTCATTCTCTTTCTAGCAGAAAACACAAAAAGGAATGAAGTATCAGCAAGAACATATCAAGTCAGGAGGCCAGAGATAGGTATTCCAAAAAGAAAACAGCATGGACAAAGGCCTGAAGTCACTGAAAGGACCAATCCTGCCTAAGAATGAAAGGAAAAAGCATGGAGCTGGAAAGGTGGGCTGCTGCCAGAGCAGGAAGACCCCGTATGCCAAGCTAAGGAGTTTGGATTTCTGTCTGTAGGTAGCAGAGAACTAACAAAGATATCTTCTCCCTTTCCAGGCCACCTTCCATTTCTGATCCAAAGGATGCCTCAATTCTGGAAAGGAAATACTGAAAAGTCATCCTCATTCTGGCTCAAAAAATTCCACACATACACAAAATTAAAACTGACAGCATATGACCTGTTTAAAAAGGGAGGCAATGCTAGTTACATCTAGCAATTGGCTGCTATGCCAATTCTAAAACCCAGGTGCTCTAAAGACTACCATCACCTGGACCTGCACCAGCCCCTCCCCTCTGCCCCCAGTGTCCCCAGCCTCACCTGTTTCCCATCTTCCTTAGAGAAGTCCTGTTCTGAATGGGGTGATTCTATGGGTGTCTGTCCAGGTGCCACAGGAGGAGCAATGGTTAGAAAAGATTTAAGTCTCACTGTTTCCAGAACTTCTGGTTTTCAAGAGGACCAGAAATCCAATGTCTCAATGTTGGTATGTATATCAAAAATTTAAAGTAAGGGGGAAAACCCACCAACACTGTGTGGGCCAACTAAAACATATCTATGGGCTGTCTGTATACGACTCTGGTCTTTGGCCTCAAGGAAATCCACTGATGTAAGTGAGCTAGCATCTTCATTTTGAAGCATTTTAATCATCTGAAGCTTCCTTATAATAGGGCTTTAAAAAAAGATCTGGCTGGCTGGGCTCAGCGTCTCAGGCCTGTAATCCTAGCACTTTGGGTGGTCGAGTCAGGCGGATCATGAGGTCAGGAGTTCAAGATCAGCCTGACCAACATGGTGAAACCCTGTCTCTACTAAAAATGCAAAAATTAGCTGGGTGTGGTGGCATGCACCTGTAATCCCAGGCTGAGGCAGGAGAATCACTCGAGCCCAGGAGGTGGAGGTTGCAGTGAGCCAAGATCACACCACTGCACTCCAGCCTGGATGATAGAGCAAGACTATGTCTCAAAAAAAAAAAAAAAAAAATGCTGGCCAGTGAGGTACTCATGCCTATAATCCCAGCACTTTGAGAGGCCAAGGTGGCAGTATCACTTGGGCATAGGAATTTGAAACCAGTCTGGGCAATGCGGCAAAATACCAACTCTACAAAAAAATTTTTAAATAGCTGGGCCTGGTGGCGTGTGCCTGTAGTCCTAGCTACCTGGGAGGCTGAGCTGGGAGGATCGCTTGAGCCCAGGAGGTAGAGGCTGCAGTGAGCTGTGTTCACACCACTGCACTCCAGCCTGGGCAACAGAGTGAGAGTGAGAGAGACCCTGTCTCAAAAAAAACCAAAACAAACAAAATCTTTTGCAGCTACGAGGTCATTAATCTGACCAGCTGCTCCAGAAAGATTCAAGTAACATGAGGGAGCAAACATTCGATTCAACTTCCACTCCCTTCCCTAAGAGCATGCATTTATTCAGAAACGCCCACTGAGTCCGTGCTGTGAGGATATGTGAAGTGCAGCAGGAGGACACAGTTCATGGGGGGCAGTGTTGGAGGGGAATGCCAACAGAGGCCTTCTGAAAAAACGATGTAACTGAGACCTAAAGACTGTTCAAAAGTTTGTCAAGTGAAAGGGGAAGCAAGGCAGTGCAGGCAGAAGGAAACACATATGTGAAGATCCTGAGGTAAGAGGAAATTTGATGCATTCCAAGAACTGAAACTGAGCAAGAGAATCAACAGAGTGAGGCTACATAAGGAGGTAAGAGCCTTCCGTGGAAGGCTCTAAAAGAGGCAGTAATAGGCAGCCAGCGGGTTCTCAGCAGACCAAGACAGATTTAGAAAGATCGCTTTTGCTCTGCCTGGAGAACGGATTGAAGGGAACGAGAGGGCAAGGCCCTACCTACCTTATTCATCACTGTAACCCTAGCACCTAGCATGCGCCCACACATAACTGGCACTCAGTAAATGTTTGTGGAATGAATGACCGTGTAAACAGATAAGAGATTATTACAGTAACCAAGGCTGGCAGCTGAAGACAAGTGTTCCGAGTTGCGATGTTTTGTAAGTCGAGTTGATGGGGCTCAGTAGGGACTGATTGAATGTGGAAGTTTGAGGATAAGAGAAAAACGAGTCAGGCCTGACTCCCATGAATCTGGCTTGGCCCCTATCTGATGGAGGGGCTAGCTTAAAGAGAGAGGTAAGATGGAAGAAGGTGTGCAGGCAAAGAGCTCGCAGATTCTCTACCAGCACCCACCACATGCGTGTCTGAGCATCTGAGCAACACCTGGCCCAAGAGCTAGGACCTAGGACTAAGCTCCCTGAGTATATGCGGTGGCACACTCTCTGCGCCCCGGCTCTCCCAGATGCGTGCGAGGCCCTGCGAGCCGACACTTTACTCTGTAAACTCCCCGAACTTATCCAAGCCGCAGTTTCCTCATAAGATCGTCGCAAGCATCAACGCATCAAACTCCAGGCCTAAGCTGGGTGGGAAGGCACCCCCCGAGAGTGGGGCGGAATTCCCACTTCTCTTTCCGCTCGGGACTACCTTTCTTCAGGACGCGGGCCTGTCAGGCTCCTCTCGCCCCTGATCCGCCCGCGTCCCCCTACCCGAGGTCAGCCTACCTGCTGGCCCCGCGGCGCCAGCGCACTGCAGCCCAGGCTGATGTAGACGGCAACTTCTCCCGGGTCGGCGGTAGCCGGTACTCAGCCAGCCTGTCAGGGCCGCTGCCACGGCTACAGAACCTGTTTACCCACGACGTCACTACCTTCCTGACCCCGGAAGCACTTACAGCCCCCATGCCACGGAGCCTGCTGGGAAACAAAGGCCCGAGGGGAGGCCGGGCCTACAAGACGCAGAAGCCTTAGCGCCGGCAAGGCCGCCGGAAGTGGCTTTGCCCTTGTCTTACCGCGAAGACTCTCGGGGAATTCCGACTCCACCCTTCCCGTATAGAGCGCTAGGCATGCCGGCCCTTGTAGTCTCAGGCTCCACAGCCGGCGGGGCTGGGTCGCACTCCAGGCGGAGTCAGCGAGCGCAGGATGTGAGCTCACAGCTCGGGACTGCTGGTGGGCAGGCGGCTGCAGGCTAGGGGCGGCTTGGAGTCCACTGGCCCCCCAGCTGAGAGGAGAGGCGCCCCCGGGGACGGTGAGAGCCGGGCCCGCCGATGCCCTCGGGGAAGGGATGGACTGCCCCTGCTGGAGCAAAGCGAGCCTGGGTCCTGGGGAAAAGGCGTGGGGCGGCGTAGGGGAGATGGAGAGCTCCGATCTCTCACAGAGGGTGGGCGTGAGAACCGGTGTGGGTTTCCCGGTAGTGAGAAGTGGCCCGAGCTAGGGAAGAGCCCACACCGACCACATTTCCCAGGACTTTTTGGGTGACGCTTAACCTTTACACTTAGGGTTTCTGCTAGATCCGCCCACTCTAGCCCTCAGCTTTCCCCACGCGGTCCTCTGTATCTGGCGGATTTCTGGGTCCTTCTTCCTTTTAGACCCCCCCTCTTTCCACCGCCGCGGCTGTTTGCCCTTTGTTCGTTCTGCTTGGGTTTCCATTAGCTTCGCTGAGTGAGCCACGGATCCGCCCCTAGCCCCAGGCATCCCCAATATCCACTCCCAAAGTGCGGAAGGAAGAGCACTGTGGCTATGAGTGGAAACTTCATTCTCATTGGAATTACCTTCTGGGGCGTCACCGGCCACAGGATTCCTGGAACCAATTGGTCTGAGCGGAATCTGATTGACGTCATCCAGGGGCTCAAAGCAATTGCTCTGTAGAAAAGGAATTGATTGTTCTGAATCCGTCGACCTGTCTTGGCAGGCCTATCCTTTGAGTTCCTTTGCTTTGGCAGAACATGTATGTGTGTTTTCTCTGATCCTGGGAAAACTGGGGCTAGACGCAGAATACACAGGGAACTTGCTAATACCTGTTAGGGAGGTGGACTTATTCCTTTGAGGTGGGCGTAAAAAGGGAAGGTGATCTCATACCAGTCTAGTGTTTCTTAGTCACTGGCAGCCTCCTGGTGAGGGCTCACTTCCCATACCCAATCCCTGTGGCAAGTGAAAGGCTCTCCCAGATAACCCGCCAAAGTAATTCACTGCTTCACACAGCACCCACTCTGGCTGTCCACTTCCTTGGACGTTTTTCCCAGGGACATTTTACCTAAATCTTTTCAGGGACAATTTCAATCTAACAAAATGACATATGTTAAATATTTAAAATGTGCATGGCACTGTGCTAAGCACGGTTAGGGGACACAGCAGTAAACTTGGGAAACCAATGTCCTGCTTCTGGGTTGCACTTACAAGAGATGAGCGACTCTAAACTCCCACATGTGACGAGCAGTAGGTGAAATCATTCCACTTCTTTTGTCTCCATTATCACCACTGTGGTCCAGGCCGCCATCATCTCTTCTTGCCTAGACTACTGCTTCCTCTGGTCTTCCCACTTTCTCTCTTGCACCTTTACAATTCATTCTCTACCCAGCAGCAAGTTATCTTTTCAAAATACGCTACAAGCAAGTCAGATCCTATCACTCCCTTGCTTGCAGTCCTCCGATTGATTCATATACTATATTGCAATTAGTATAAAATCCAAACTTTGAAATCATCTAGCCTTCCCTGACTCGATCCCAAACCAACTTTTCCCTACTTTCGGTGCATCAGCTGTTATGACCCTATTTCTGATCCTAAAACTTGTTTCTTTTTGTTGTTGTTGAGATGAGATTTCCTTATGTCACCCAGGCTGACATGTCCAGGCTCAAGCAATCATCCCACTTCAGCCTCCTCAGCAGCTGGGACCACAGGCACGAGCCACCATGTTTGGCTAGTTTTCTTATTTGTAGAGACAGTCTCACTATGTTGCCCAGACTGGTATTAAACTCCTGGGCTCAAGCAGTCCACCTGCTCTGGCCTCCCAAAGTGCTGGAATTACAGGCGTGAGCCACCACACCCGGCCCCTAAAACTTGTTTCTAGCAGGAACTTTGTACTTACTCTTCTGCCTGTCTAGAATGCTCTCTTCAAACCTCAGCTGAATTGTCACCTTCCCAAAGATGCTTTTCCTGTCCCTCTGTCTGAATTAATGCCTCTCCCTAATCACTCTCTTATCACTGTATTATTATCTTTATTGCATTCATCACCTTCTGGAATTATCTACTTGTTTATTCGGGTCCTTATTTATAGTCTTGTTCCTTCCACTAAAATGTAAGTTCCATGTGGACATGACTTTCTATATTTGTTCTGTCCTGAGTATCCAGTGCCTGACATGTAGGAATACAATAAATGCTAACTCTCTTTTTAAAAATTCCTGTTAACATTATGATGCCTCTTTGAACTGTTTGAAGGCAAAGACAGTATCTTTTCACCATTCCCTACTGCCTAGCATAGCAGGGTACTCAATAATTTAATTGCTGAATGAGTTAAATGGGCTAATATATATTAAATGCCAAGAATGGTACCCGGCACACAGTAAGCATTGCAGTGAATTTTATGATAGGTTGTTTCTCCAGCAAATGAATTTTAGTGATGCTTCAGAAAGCCAAAAACATAATATAGAATCTAAATCATGAGGAGTAGCTGGTTTTGCTTTCTTTTCTCCTCCCTCCTATGAACTCCTGTTAGTGTTTTAATTTCCAAATCACTTTATTATTTTAATTTTAATTTTTCTTTCTAGAGATGCGGTCTTGCTATGTTGCCCAGGCTGGTCTTGACTCCTGGGCTCAAGCAGTCTCCCACCACAGCCTACTGAGTAGCAGGGAGTACAGGCATGTGGCAGCACACAGCGTACCTTGTTGTTTTTAGATTTTTCATCTGATCTTTTCTAGTCCTTTCTTCTGCCATTCTTATTGGGAGGTAGGAGAGTAGTGCTAAGCTCCCTCTCAGGAAAAAGAGACAAAAATAGGCATCTATATTCTTCCCTCAAAAATGGCGACGGTTTCAGGAACTTGGGACAAGGCTGGTGCCAAGAAAAGGGAAGGTCAGAAAGCCCCAGCTGAAGCCCAGGTAACCTACGCCAAGAACGCTGGCCAGCGCCCTCCACCCTGGCTCACTGCATTCTCTCCTGAAGCTGCTTTTACTTTCCTTCCTGAAGCCAGACTCTCGGTGGTGCTCAGAATAAACACTGGCGCAGATTGCTCCTGAGGCTGGAATCTTTAGAAAGGAAGTGCATCCTGTCCCTCTGGCTCCTGGGAAACTCCTAGGCTGCCCGGATTCCCAGTAGGCTTGGCTGAAAGTCTGGGATCCTGGGAACCTTGACAAGAGGGTCACCGGAATCGGACTGGTAGATCCCTAGGGTGTTCTGTTCCTCTGGCCCTCTCTGACTGGTTCCATGGGTTTGCTTGTCTTCCTTGCTGCCCTGAGTGGAGCTGAGTCTCAGGGAGGCTGGTGAGGTGACCAGGGCAGGGATCCGGGAGACTGCTCCCAGCCCCAGTTTCTGGTATAGTAAAAATGGCAGGGAGACCAGATGCAGTTACTCACAGTTATAATCCCAGCACTTTGGGACATTGACGTGGGCAGATCGCTTGCGCTTAAGAATTCAAGACCAGCCTGGGCAACATGGTAAAACCCTGTCTCTACCCAAAAAAAAGAAAATTAGCTGGGCATAGTGGCAGGCACCTGTGGTCCCAACTACTCAGGAGGCTGAGGTGGGAGGATCACCTGAGCCCAGGAGGCAGAGGCTGCAGTGATCCAAGATGGCATCCTGCACTCCAGCCTGGGTGACAGAGTGAGACCCTGTCTCTAAGGAAAAAAAAAAGAAAACAAAATGGCAGGGACTCAGTCTCTGCCAGTGAGTGGTGCTTGGGCTTGTCAAGGAGAGAATGATATGGTCAAGTCTCTGCTTTTGTCCGTTCCTGGTCTGAGGGCTCTCTCAGCTGACTCGTGTCCTCTCTCCCATCTCCCCTGTACAGCACAGAGAGTATGAGGCTGTGGCCTCCACTGGCCACTCACTTGTGACCCTTTCCACCACGGCGGAGCCTTCCAAGCCTACCTCCTGCCGTGTGGTGATCTACCTGCAGCGGGAGATGTCGGGGGACACCTGCCTGTGCCCGGCCTCGGGGGCCAAGCCCAAGCTCAGCGGCTTCAAGGGAGGAGGGCTGGGCAACAAGTACATCCAGCTGAACGTGGGCGGCTCCCTGTACTACACCACTGTGCGGGCCCTGACCCGGCACGACACCATGCTCAAGGCCATGTTCAGCGGGCGCATGGAGGTGCTGACTGACAAAGAAGGTGAGGCGTCAGGGCTTGCTGTGCAGGGTAGGGAGGGCAGGAGGGGTTCCCGGGGAAATGACCAGATCTAGAATTCAGGGTCACTTTTCCTCTTCACCTTGTGGAGGGTGGAGTCCCTAGTAGAGCTTCGGAATTCTTGAAGTTGTGCATGGAGTGCTATATGTTTATGCATTTTTCAGGAAGAAGAGCCATCCTTTTAAAATATTCAAATAGGACAAGATTCTCATAGGGGCCATCACCTTAAGACTGGGCAGCGGGCAGAAGCTAGCAGCGGCGGGTGGCTTCTGTGTTGGGCTGGCCCTGGCGCCCTAAGCCTAGGCCCCAGTAGCCTCCACAGCCTGGAGGCCTGACTCTCCCATGGGGTGTGCCAGTTCTGGGTTTCAGGGAGGAAGGGTGAAGAGCAGCCGTGGGCCCGAGTGCTAGAACCTCCATCCCCACCTCCGTCACCCTGCACGAGAGCTCTGTGCTCGGGGAGCCCCTTTCCTGCCACCTGCCAACTGCCACCAGCTCGTCAGGTGGTCTTTGCCTGCCTTGGAGGTACCTGGTGGCAAACTAATCATGTAGGGCCGTCTGCGTCCCTAGGCTGGATCCTCATAGACC